GTATTGGAAATAGCCACTTACAGCTAATAACCACCGTAAACTTATTTGAGTTGAGAGCATTTTATGGTCTAAATGGAGCATAAACTAAGGTTCATGGCCAAGATGCCTTCTAGGGAGGTGCTCACGGTCAAATACATCATATCCTTAAAGTGTTTACGCCCTTAAAGTGATTCCCTTTAGAGTTCACGGCCAAAAGCTTTCCTAGGGTAGTGTTAACGGCCAAAGCTTGGTTTTTGAGGTGGTTTACGGCCATAGTGGCTTCGTGGGGTGTGTTCACGACCAACATGTCCAAGAATAAGAGTTTATGGTCTAAAGATTGATTCCTTGAGGTGTTCACGGCCATGGTGCTTCCTAGGGAAGTGTTTATGGTCTAAATTCCTTTCCTTTAGGTGTTCACGGCCAATGTGCTTTCTAGGATTGAGTTCATGGTCTTATGAAAGTGTTTATGGCCTTAGCTAATAGTAAACCCAAATATATTGTCCTTATAATTTAAGTGTCCAAATTGTGACATAATTGCAAGTTCTTGTGTCTCAACTATGTGATCCTTGTTTGATTGCATTGTAGATTGAATTCTCAAATTATTTGTCCCACCTTGTCTTGCTTAACTTGACTACTTTTCTAAGAGATTATCTTCCGTGCAACTTTCAAGGTGTATACTTCCTTATATATGCACTTATTCTCTCATGTTTTTCAAGGTTCTCATTGTAATAGGGTTACAATTTAGACCTTGTCTGGTCCAATAGTTTGGGTTGTCACACAAAATGACAATCTCAGCATGGGAGCTTACGATACTACTTTAAGCTTCCTCAAAGATTATGTAGCTGAGTTTTGCTGATGTGACTATGAATTGGCACATCTGTTTGGAATTGAAAACTTCCTTGCCAAGATTGATTATGTTCTTCCGGAAGTTGAACTGCTAGCTGAAGGGACCATTGATGAGCCGGTATTGGGGTTTGTCTACAATCAAAGAAATACAAAAAGAAGGACTTCTTCCGAGTCCTTGACAAACACCTAGTTCCAACTAAAGCTCTTAAGAAATTCATTAATCGTGCATCCAAGTCAGAAGCACCGGAAAATGTCAAGGCTAAGTTTGTGAGCTACTTGCAGTGGTGTATTGAAGTTAGAGATTGGTTGTTTAGAGCTTATGTTTTTATCAAGGAAGAAGCAAACTGAGCTGACTTGGTTGCTAAGTTCACTTAGGGGGAGATTGTTAGAACCTGAAAGTGAACCTCTAGGAATCCTGCAATAAAATTCCGAAGTCAGTTTCAGTTCCAAAGAGAAAATGTTTCGGAGTCAGTATGTGGTTAGAAGGGAAGCTTGAGTCTGGAGAAGAAGAGATAAAGAACATGTTCCGAAGGAGGTGAAGACATTCTGGAATGGAGTTTGTGTCCGAAATGAATATTATGTTTATCCGTCTGTACAAGTTTCTTTTGTTATTCTATTTGATGTAACATATCATAAAACTTAGTCTTTTTTGATGTTTTAGATAATCAGAGTGTCAGGAGTAACTCTATTATCCGGTCCTATGTATGTATGTGGTCAGTACGATGTAATATGTTCTCCTATTTATAGGAGCATTGAATGGAAAATTACGTGACGGGTTGTTCTATCAAAAATAGCATTATTCTTGTTTACTTCACTTTCTATTCTCTTTCAAATCATTGACTCAAACATTCTTCTTGTTCATTTATTGTCTTAACTTTGATTTCACTCTTCATTTATGTATTGAACACTTTGTTGAATCTACTACTTCAGACTTGACTGGTCTTGCCAAACTTGACTGGAACAATCCTTAGTTGGCAGACATTGATCTTAAGCATTAACTTAAGGTTTGATTTCTCAAACCTTGTCCCTGCGCATTAGATCTCTTGAACTCACACATATAAATAAGTACTTATTGGGTGCCAAGCCACCAACTCTTTACGGAAGCCCAAATTTAGTGGAGATTATGGACTGGATCTCGGAGATGGAAATGGTATTTGAAAGCTGCAACTGTAACAATAAGCATAAAACCATCTTTGTAGTCAGACAACTGAAGACTTGGGCTTTAAGTTGGTGGAAGTTGTTGGCAGATACAATTCCATAAGGGAAGCCACGTGGATGTGTTAGGAAGCATTCTTGGAGCATTTGAAAATGTAGTACTACTCGGACGTAGATCTGATAGACCTAAACAATGAGTTTCATAACCTAAAGAAGGGGAAGATGAGTATTGATGAGTACGCCACCGCATTCAATTCCCATACTTGGTGCCTATTGAAGTCTCCAAGATATATAGGTTTGCTAACGGATTGCCATCGGTCTTTGGTGCAACGGTAAAAATGAAAACTACTTTGAAGACAACCGTTAGAGAAGCCAATAATATGGAGACCCAACTTAAGGAAAAGGGTCTGGAAAAAGATAAGGCAGGAGAAAAGAGGAAGCTTGAGGGATCCTCAATATATGATAATAAAGGATGATTCTCGAAGTCCAACCTAGACGACCAAAAGTATGGGGGTAGTGGTGGAGCCAAGTGGTTTGAGATGTGTAAGAAGAGGCACTATGGGAGATGCAACAGAGAAGTGACCTGTTATAAGTGTGGGAGGATCAGTCACTATTCCAAGTATTGTACGTTTAATGATAAGGTATGCTATAGATGTGGAGATATGGGGCATATGTCAAAAGATTGCCTAAGGAAAAATGAAGTAACAACATAGAAATGCTCCGCAAAAGCTAAAGGCAAGAGCATTCTAGACAATCCTTGGTGAAGTAGGTGGGGATCCAGGGGATTAGGAGTAAGGATCTATATAGTATCATGTGGTGTAGGGACCCAATAAGTTCATAATCGAAGTTGGCTCTAAAAGACCTGAGTTTATTCTGGAATTTGGCTCTAAAAGACCTGAGTTTATGCATTGCATCTCCGAGATAGTATCATGTGGTATAAGGATCTATATATTCTGGAATTTGGCTCTAAAAGACCTGAGTTTGAGCATTTCATCAAATGATGAGATGTTATTAGGACATGACCCATCGGTTTGTTTTGATAATCGAAGTAAAGAACTTATCTTAAGTTAAGTCTGTTTAAGGAGAATGAGTCTCTAATAAGGATCGAGTTTGTAACTCGAAGGTTATGATTAAATGTCCAACATAGTATGAAGAGAGGATGCAAGATTGAGCACCGCCAGCAGTCAAGAAGTCCAAGAGTTAGATACTCATTTGAAAACACATGAGAGTTATGGTTGTAACCTAGGATGGAAAGGTAACGTGCGGAGTCATTATACAAGCCCTGTTTTGTTGATAATTCCGGGACAAAATCATCCTAAGGGGGAGAGAATTATAACACCCACGTTTCTCGCTAAGCATTAATAATATGATGTACTAGGTAGGGTCAACAATTGTAACCTATTTGATGTAATAAATAAGAATTATGTGAATATTATGTGTTTCATGATTATTATAATATAATAAAATAGGAAAAATCAGCCGAATCGCCCGTAAATCGTAATAATAAGTTCGCCAAAACACACACACACACATATATATATATATATATATATATATATATATATATATATATATATATATATATATATATATATATATATATATATATATATATATATATATATTATTTAGAGAGTAAACGTCGTCCCGATCCCAAAAATATAAATTTCGTTGAAATCCGACTCCGTATGAATTAGATATGATTTTTATAAGTTATAAAAGTCAGTCATGCATAAGGAATGTGTGACGTAAAAAGCTAGGAAGATAATGGTTGACTTTTAGCTAAATCCAACAATAAGAAAATCATAGTACTCTTTAAAATAAGAATTTTGATAAAAGGAATGCCAAAAACGGAATCCATATGAGAGAGTTATGATTTTAGAAAATCATTTAACTTCTTCAGAATATTGACGAAAAATAAAATTAAAATTAGCTAATGGAGTCTAAACGAAAGTTGTAGATTTCATCGATAACTACGCGTGGATATAAAGAACGCCAAAAATGGAATTCGTATGAATGAATCACTACAAGAAAAATCCTAAATAGCTACGATAACTTGCTACATAATTGAAATCCGTAGCTATTCTATTACGGAATGTGCTACAAAATGGCTTTTCGTAGCTATTTTGCTACGGAAATGGCTACAGAGTTACATTCCGTAGCTAAAATAGGAATAACTACAAGAAGTTACTACGTAATCAAAATCTAAATCTGTAGATATTATACTACGGAATATGCTACAAAATGGCTGGCCGTAGCTATTTTGCTACGGAAATGCAACGAAGTTACTACGTAATCAAAATCTAAATCTGTAGATATTATACTACGGAATATGCTACAAAATGGCTGGCCGTAGCTATTTTTCTACGGAAATAGCTACGGAGTTGCATTTCCGTAGCTAAATCTTGAATTGTTGCTACAAAATCAAAATTTGTAGCTATTTTACTATGAAATATACTATATGGTTGTTGGTTGTAGCTAGTTTGCTACGTAACTTGTTACGTAATCAATTTTCGTAGTTAGTTGGCTACAAAATCGATTACGGAATAAAAATACATAGCTAGTTTGCTACATAATAGAAATTTGTAGCTACTTTATGACGAAAATTTGCTACAAAATAAAAATCTATAGCTAATCTACAATGGAACTTGTAACGGAAATGTTAACTGTTATTTGTGTATCTAAGCTGTTTTTGAATTTACAAAATAGCTACATAATCTAAATCCATAGCTATGTGGTTACGAAATATTTCGTAGTCAATTAGTTACGGAATATACTTCCGTAGTAAAATACAAAAAATATTTTACCAAAAAAAATAAATTTATCAATTTAATTGTGTTATGATTTTTAATTATAATTTAATTATGATAGATAAAGTTATTTACATATTATTATAAAGTATTTATTTATTCTTATTATATTATATATATAATAAAATCAATGTTCTTATGGCCAGTATTGAGATACCACCTGGTTTGAAGACGGGTTGCTTCCACCGCCTTACTCTAACACTATAGTACATGCATTTTCCTCTTTTCATCCACAATTTTTCTGTCACCGCTTCTTGCATCGATTTCCAAAAGAACACCTTTTATTCATCTCTTTTGCTCTGTCACTCCACAATACGCACCGCTTCCTGCTTCTTTCTCTATCTCGACAAGAATCAGTCTTTCAAGGAAGCGTCGTCGTCGATCGGGATCGAAATCGGTTTTGTCGTCGGAATTCGATCACCTCTATCCAATATCCAATATCAGGTTCTATTGTTCTTAAATTTTGATGTTGATTGGATATGTCGCTTTTATTACCCATGTAATGATTATTAAGAAATGAATCTCAGTGACTTTTCCAGCCTTCATTTAGCCGACCTTTTTGCTATATTATCAAATGAATCTCATCGATAGCATCCCCGAAGATCAATTTCAATTTCAAGGGTACAAAAGTTCCTTCGATCGGTTTTCATTTAACTCATTTTCTACTTTTTCGTCCTTCATGATTTGCTACCGTATGATTCAAGTTTATTATGAATTGAAATGGATTATTTTAGTGTGATTGCCAAATAACGTCGACATCTTACATAAGGATTATGCTTGAATAACTTGATTTGGGGTTAGACATTCCTTCTCATATGGTTGTATGACATTATATATGATGAATCCGGTACTTGGTTGTAAAGTGCAGCAAAATCTATAATTTGTTCTAAAAAATGTCTATTTTTTCATATTAAATTTGATGTTATTAAAATAACTCAGCTGAAATTGTTTGGTACCTAAAGGAGGTAATACATGGTTGTTGTGATTTGTTGTTTCTTTGCTACTTTCGTATTAGACAACCCAACTGTTTGATAAAATGCTTGAAAGAAGGTTTTCATCTTTTTATAAAAATTCAATACCTCTCAGATAGGTGGAACTTCAAGTGGTGAGCATTATTTGGGAAAATCTACTAATATAGAACTGCAACCCAGGATGCTATGCTTTGTCAACAGGTATGACCTAATAGATCCTTTTACTCGACTCCCTTATTCTTTTTTTTTTGTTATCATTCTACATTTTTTTAGTTGATTCGGGAATAAATTGATTGTATTTTGAGGACATTCTGATGCAAAAATTTGTACTACAGCCCGTTTTATCAACATATATGACACGGCTACAAATGTTTTCTACACTTTTGATGGTTAGAACTGATTTCAACTGAAGATGCCCTTTATAACTAACTTTCTATCCAACTGATAGGTTTTGTAACCAACTTCCTGCACCTAATTAACTCTATGGAAAGACATAACTACCCTTTCATTTGCTAATTCTTCACGGAGTTGGTGCTGACAGTTTGTGGGCCTTGTACGTTTATTCAATTTAGGCCCTAAAATGTAAAAGAGACAAAAAAAATTTGATTTATATTCTTCCTTTTCTGTATTTTGTATGTTGAAATATGTTTGTGACTTTGTCCATGAGAGGTAATGAGCAACTTACTTTCAATTGTGTAAATCAAGTTTAAAAATGTAAAAATTACAATGAGAAGAATTAATATTATATGAGAAAATTTCAATATGTTAACGCAAAATACAATGAGAAGAATTAACATTTAATAACAATATTTGTCTTGCAATGGGAAATGCAGATATTGACAAAGCAGAGATTTTGTTGAAGCTTCCTGATATTTTGAAATCTAATAATCTTGGGAATGTTCACGTAATTCTCTTGAAGGGTAAATTGGTATTTTTAGGTTCTTTTTTCAAAACAAATTCAATCAATCTCATTATCTTAAACATGAATCCTAAAATTAAGCAAAACATAATCAATTCTCAGTTCTCAAAATCATAACTGACCATTTTGCCCTTATTTCTGTAGGCATTGACTCGAGCAACGTTCCCATAATGAGACTTATGGATCTTACTAATGTTGTTATAAATACAAAGCTTCTACATGACTACTCAAAGATAGATGTAATATTGAGACAATTGCCCTTCATTATCAAACATTAGGCAAAGACATGTCCTTTTTTATAATCTGAATTTGTTTTTTTTTAATTTATGATTCAGGTATGTTTTGATGTGCATTATGTCAAAGAATGCGTACCTGTAACTGACGCTAGGAGAGGAGAGCAGAAATGAAGACTTCAAAAATTGTTTGGTCCGATAACAACGCATCAAAGGATACGACTTTATAAGGTTAGAGTTTATAATTTTGGTTTTAGATTTTAAAGATTAATGAAATGTTTGAAATTTAAATTTTGAAATTGTTTGGAGGGAATGATAACATGTTATGAAATTATGACTTTTTAAAAAAAATCGTTGCCAAAAATGGATCCTTTTGTTTTTTAAAATAGATAGTACGAGTTGTTATCGAAAATAGTCGATATGGGTTAATAAAAGACTGTAATTTCATTTTTTTAGCTGATACAACTCAACAATTCCATAACAGATTAAGAAAAACATAGGAATAGAAGAACTGATGTTATTTTTTTAGCTACTTCTATGTGTGCATTGGACTGTAGATGTTTGTGTGTGCATTGATATCATTGTCATAAAGGAAAGTTATGTTAATATCAATATATATTACAAATAATAGCAATCTACTTTGGTAAGTTTACATGTTTAAATTGAAAGTAAAATGCTATGATGGGTTAAAAAGGAAAGTATTACAAATAATAGCAATCTACTTTGGTAAGTTTACATGTTTAAAATGAAAGTAAGATGCTATGATGGGTTAAAAAAGGAAAGTAGGCTGCTATTATAGGTTAAAGTGAAAGTAAGATGCTATGATTTCATACAAGAGTTTTGAATGGTAATCAAGTTATTTAGTTTTGATGATTAGGGAACCATGTAAAAGGATTTTCAGTTATGTAATATATCTATAAAAATCTATGTAATTATTAAAATTAAATTTATTGCATTTTTATATATTTCAACGAATATTAATTGGATTTTGTTGAATATTTTTATCGTTATGAATTTGTTTTGGAACCTATTTTTGCTATGGAACAAATGACTACAGAATTTGCTACGGAACAAATGGTTACAAGAATTTGCTACGGAACAAATGGCTACGGAATTTATTACGAAACAAATGGCTACGGAATTTGCTACGGAACAAATGGTTACGGAATTTGCTACAAAATAAATGGCTATGAAATTTGTTACGGAACAAATGGCTACGGATTTTGCTACGCATGCCATTGTTACGGAATTGTTATGGAAGTGTGTTGTAGTTAAATTGCTACGGAATAAACGTCGTAACAAAACTGCTATGGAACTATAATTCTGTAGCTAAACAGTTTGCTACAAGAAATATACCTACGGAATCTCATTGGTAAATTCCGTAGCAACTTGTGTAGTTATTTAGGTTTAGCTACGGAATTTTAACTTTTAGCTACGGAATTTTTTCGTAGCTAAATCGAAATTTTCTTGTAGTGAATTATAATTTATAATAGCTTATCCACGTATTAAAATAAAGTATATATATTACCAAAAGACTACTTATAATCATAATGGTATCAGAGCTAGATTTTCAGAAGAGATTATTATGTATGATAACTCTGTTTGTTATTTGGTTAATTTTTGTTTGAAGAATTTTTAAGAAAATTATGAGTTTTGTTAAGAATGATACAGAGACCCGACCAGTGATTGGTTGGATTAGCGTAAGACGTGCAAGTATGGTAAGTCACGGAGCCGGACCACAATCATCGTTGGGCCGATGCCCTCTCTGTTCATCCAAAATAAAACAAGTAAGTTTTCTTATAAAATCTTTAAACTAAAATTAATTAAATATGAGTAGATTTTCACGCATATTATCTAAAAAATATGATACTGGTAAAAATATTATGAATAAAGAACAAGATTATGATGATAATCATATAAACTCTATTGAAGAAACTATTGATAATATAGAACAAAATTTAAATGATTGGACTATACCTAAAACAAATATAAATACAATTTATAGAATAGGGACTTTTGATTATTTTCAAAGTTACTCAATTAAAATGACTGAACAAACCCTATCCATTGGTCAAAACCAACAAAATATAAATTTGTTATCATCAAGATCTATTTTCGAACATAGACAAATATAAATTTCTTCATTTAGGTCTTGTTCAAATTGCTATCAAACCTCTTTTTAGAATTGGTGTTGATGCTCCTGTTCTCTTAATATTAAGAGATAAAAGACATACAGATTTTCAAAATTCTATTTTAGCTATGGCAGAAACAAATATCGCAAATGGACCAATTTATTTTAATTGTTATCCAAATTTTTCCGTAGGATTATTTGACAAAAATATTTTAGACACTTTGGTTTTAACTGTTGAAACAAAGAATTTAGAATTTAAAAATAACTCTAAACCTTTAGCAATCATTTATCGTGTTTGTTATAAAACCATGACAACTACCTTAGAACCAAAAACCCGTTTGTCAAATCCAAGAAATGAAACAATTATTTACGAAGCAAATACTAATCATACAAAAGTTCATATGCCTAAACGACTTAAATGGTCAGAAATTACTCAATCATGTAATTGGAATTTACAAAATGTTATTGAACCAAAATCTTTAGATTCTTCAAAACAAATTTCAAGTATAATTGAGCATAATGATGGCTCAGTTGATATAAATTTTTCTTCTCTAAATTTTTCATCATCTAGATTTTCTACTAGTTCTATTCCTGAAATTGGTACTTCTAAATCTTCGTTTTCAAAATCAAAGTCTTTAAATTTAAAAACTGTTGACTATTCTAGTTCTATTCCTAAACCTCTTTATCAAGAAGATCAAACTAGTGATACAAGTTTACCAAGTCCTACTAAATCTGATTTTATTAATGAACTTCAAAATTATAGACAACAATTATGACTAATAAAGTTCAAATAAATTGTAATTCTTTAAATAGAAATAGAGTTACTGCTATTAAGAGATTAAGAAATTCAATAAAAATATTTAAAAAACTCTTACAAGAAAAGATATTAGAATTAAAAAATATAAATAATGATAAAGAACTATTAGAATTAGAACAAGAAATTAATAACATAAAAGCAGTATTAAAAATCTTTAATATACATCTTGATAATTATTTAGCAAATTTATCTAAATATACGTGTTAATGAGTTCTAAAAGACAGATTAGTTGTTGTAATAATAATACTTTTTGGAATAATTTATTAAAGACCAGATAGCAAATTATTGCAAGCGTTTCTAAAGAAATAAATAGAATTAAACAACTTAAAGAAAATGAAGAAATTAAATTAATTAATACTGAAAAAGACACATATAATTATAATATTCAAAAGGAAATAATATATTGTTTATCAAAAATGATTAAAAATAAAAATATTATTATTAGTGCTCAACTTAGTATTATTAAAAATATATGTTTTAGATTAAATCAATCAACTTGTTAAAATGAATATTAATATAGATATTTCTAAAATACCTTCATATGTTAATTTTGATTATTTAAAAGAAGAAGAATATTATAAAAATTATAATAATACAAAAAGAATTTGGCATGAAGAAAACTTTTCATATTATATAAGATTTTTACATTTTGGACTTTGGGAAGATTATGTTTTATCAAATCAAATTCACTCTCCGTTTTTTCAATGGTTCGAATTGATTTATGTTCCTAAACATAATATAGATTATCCTTTTAAAATGCAAACTGTTTTTCCTGTTTCTTCAAAAACATACAAGAATGTTATTACTAATCAAGAAATTATTTCCGAATATCCGCCAAAAAAGGAAATCATTATTGATAATAATTTTATTGCAACTCCTTTAGTTAAAGTTCCGAGTCAGATAACAAATGAAAAATGTTTTCAAAACATTATTTATCAAAATAATTATTCAAATGAAACTCTTTTAACTATTTCAGAACAATTAAATAGGATTGAAGAAAATACTATAAATTTACAGTTATCAAAAGAAAATAAAATTAAAACAAAGAATTTTTATAATAATATAGCAAGTTCTAGTAATGTCAGCTTCATTCCTCATCAAATAAATGGAAATTTTAATCTTGGAAATAAAGATTTAATTGATGAATTAGAAAAAAGACTTACTAATTTTCGTATTTCAAAAAATGTATCTATAAATATGTTAAGAACAAATAATGACTCCTTTGACGAATCTGATGAAAGTAATAATGAAAGTGAATTAAATTTAGACAATCTTACTCAACAATTCATAAATGACAATAATGATATAAATCAGCTTACAAATGATTTTTCAAGATTAAATAAGATTAATTCTTTTGGTAATAATCCAAAAGCAACTATTAAAAATTATTGGAATAGACCTTCTCTTCCTGATGTTCAAATTGAAGAAAGAGCTTTTCAATATGATCGTTCAGCTTACGATGGTACTTCTGTTTACGAATGGAATATCGATGGTAACTCTGAACATCAAATTCTTAATATTGTTCAAGAAATGACCATGGCAGCTAATGCTTACAAGTCTCACAATAATACTCAACTTCAAATTGTTAATATTATTATTTCTGGGTTTACTGGTACTCTTAAAGGTTGGTGGGATTTCTATATTACACCAGAAGAAAAGAATTTTATTATGACTGCCAAGAAAACCGTTATAAAACAAGAAAATAATTTACCGATTCAAACTCAAGAGGATGATATGGTTAATACTTTAATTTTTGCTATAATCAAAAACTTTGTAGGAGATCCTACTACTTTTCAAGAAAGAACTTCTGAAATTCTAATGAACTTATATTGTAGAAAATTAACTGATTTCAGATGGTACAAAGATAATTATCTCGTTAAAGTTTTTTCAAGACCTGATTGTAAAGAATCCTATTGGAAAGAACGTTTTATTGCTGGACTTCCAAAACTTTTTGCCGAAAGAATTAGACAAAAATTAAGAGAAAATTTTAATAATACAATTCCTTATCAAAACCTAACTTATGGAGACTTAATTAATTATATTAATAAAGAAGGATTAGCTATTTGTGCTGACCTTAGATTTAAAGAAAAACTTAAAAAAGATAGAATTAATAGTAAGAATGAATTAGGAAATTTTTGTCAACAATATGGTTATCAACCATTAACAGGTCCGTCTACTTCAAAAACCAAAAAATATAATAAAAAATCTTCAAAATATTTCAAGAAAAAGAAATATAATAAATCAGAAAAATATAAGAATTATAAGAAAAATAAATTTTTAACATCAAAAAACCCTTATAAACGATCTAATAAAAATTCTAAACGAAAATCAAAAGATATTATTATTTGCCATAAATGTGGTCGTAATGGTCATAATGCTAATAATTGTTATGCAAAAACAAAAATTAATGAATTAAATATTTCGGAAGAATTAAAAGAACAAATTAGAAAAATTATGTTAAATTCTGATTCCGATTCTGATTCTAGTTTTTCCGATTTTCAAGAAAATGATTTAAACATCTTAGAACAAAATACTTCAAGTTCGGAAGATTCTGATACATGCAAATGTGTTGGAAAATGTAATTGTAATTATTCAATTAATGTCCTTACAAACAATGACAAAGATCTTTTAAAAAATTTGGATTCCATTAAATATAAAAATATCCAAGAACTGTTGATAAAACAAATGCTTAATAAGAATGAAAGTTCTGTTTCAAATAATACAAAAATTTTTAATTAAAAGACATATATGAAAGATTTTCTGAAACAAAACCCATTTCCATACAAGAACTTCAAGAAGAATTAAAATTAGTTAAACAAGACATAAAAGAAATTAAAGGCAAAATTATAACTCTTGAAAAGGGAAAAAATATTATTAATTCACAAAAATAATGATAATAAAGATGAAAAGGTTATCGAAAGAATTATAAATGATCAAATTTCTCAAAAATGGAATACTCAAATAACTTTAGTAAAAAATAATTTTAAAATGGATATTACTGCTCTAATTGATAGTGGTGCTGATATGAACTGTATACAAGAAGGTTTATTTCCCACTCAATTTTATGAAAAAACTTCTTCTAGGCTTACTGGAGCTGAAGGAACCAGTTTAAAAATAAATTATAAAATTTCCGATGTTCATATTTGTAACAATCAAGATTATTGTTATAAAACTCATTTAATTTTAGTAAAAAATCTTACTTCTCCTTTAATTTTAGGAACACCTTTTATTACTAAATTATATCCTTTTATGGTTCAAGATGATGGAATTATTACTAAAGTTTTTGGAAAAGAAATTATGTTTAAATTTTGTGAACCTCCGTCTTATTCAACTATTAATATTCTTAATTATAAAACAAAACAAGCAAATTACCTTATCAATGAAATTAATGATTTTCGTATACATAATCAATT